GCCCCACCAACCTCACAGGGTGTCTGTTGTGGGGAGGGGAAGGGAAAGGAGATTGTAAGCTGCTCTGAGATTCTGAGTGAAGGGTGGGGTATAAATCCAACTCTTCTTCTTCAAGCCACTGTCAACCTCAGCCCTCCCACCTGCAATAGAGTAAGAGCCTTACAAGAACTATTGTAAGGGTTACTGAGCTAATCTTATGTGAAGCACCTTAACAACCAGAAAGCCCCGTGTCAATGCCAAGTGCCATTATAAACTGACTTAGGGTCCCATGGAATTCATACAAATGATTCCCGAGGGTATCCTCGTCAACGGAATTGTGTTGAAGTTTGCATGTCTATGAAAATTAGATTTTTTAATTCACGTAATATTGGGGTGGCATACAGAATGGTATGGTATAGCCTGATGGAAGCTAAGCAGGGCTGGTGCTTGGATGGGAGACCACCGAGGAAGATTCTGCAGAAGACAACGGCAAACCACCTCTACTTCTCACTTTCCCTGAAAGCCTCTTGCTGGGATTGCTGGAAGTTGGTTGTGAGTGTGACTTGATGGCGCACACATAATATTACGGTAAAGGGGTTGCTGGTACATGTCTTTTAAGTCTGAAAATGAGCAAGATGGGAGTTGTGTGAAAAGTGTCATACTTATTATTGAGGATAGTGGAGAAAAGAGTGATTATTGATGAGGGCAGTAAATCATGGAAGGCCAAGTACAGAGGAAGAAGAAGAAGCGATTGGATTTATACCCCACCCTTCACTACCGAAAGGTGTCTCAAAGCGGCTTACAAACTCCTTTCCCTTCCCCTCCCTGCAACAGACACCCTGTGAGGTAGGTGGGGCTGAGAGAAGAGCTCTTGACAGAAACTGCTCTTTTTTCGAGAACAGCTCTTATCAGAACTACTGCTTGCCCAAGGTCATCCAGCCAGGTGCAAGTGGAGGAGTGGGGAATCATACTCGGTTCTCCCAGATTAGAGTCCGCGCACTTAACCACTACACCAAACTGGCTCTGAAGTCCTGAAACGGAGCCATTTGCTGGGGTCCCCAAATCAGCAAATGACCCATCACCCCAACAATGCAGTTATTTGCACTCTGCCTATAGCAACCTACCCCACGAATGTCGTGCAGATTGTGCCCCACTTGCCATGAAATATACTGGGTGCCTTTGGTCCAGTCATTCTCTCTCAGCCTGGTCTACCTTGCAGGGTTGTTACGGCCACAGAAACATACACATATATGATGTTGCCTTCCACTGAGGCAGACCCTAGATCAGTACTGTAGTCTGACCGACAGCAGTTCCCCAGGCTCTCGAGTCACTAAAAACCAGGATTTGCACATGTTAATTTATATTCACAGATTCAAATTTACAGATAATTGTTATAATGTAATAGAATGGCAACTCACCCTAGCCCCAGCTCTGCCTTGCTCTCCAGGTGCTAACTGTGGGTGAGGAGGACCTTCTCAAGGTCAGTTCTCTCCTTTCTTATGGCTCTTCCCCTTTAATTTAGCCCAAACAACATGGCTGGTTCTTCACTCTGTAGGTTGTGCTAGGTACTTTGTCGCTGTTTAGAGGGGTCTATCCTCCACAGCCACTGCAGCTGATTTGGCTGGACAGAGGATAGGCCTCAACAATCTTGCAAAAAAAGAGAGAGCCAGCGTAGGTTAGTGGTTAGAGTCTAAGAGACCCAGGTTCCAGTCCCCGCTCCGTAATGGTTGCTTGCTGGGTGCCCTTGGGCCAGTTGCGCACTCTCAGCCTAACCCACCTCACAGGGTTGTTGTAAGGATAAAATGGAAGGGAGAATGATGGAGGTTTTGCTGGATCCCCATTTTGGAGAAAGGCAGTCTATAAATGGAGTACATAAATAAAACGTGGACACACTATATCTGGTAGAGCAGACTTTTTTTTAACAGGTAATGGAGGACGGGTGAGCTACAAGCACCGCACTGAACTCCTTGCAAGAAGGTAGGGTTGCCACCCTCCAGGTAAGACCTCGAGATTCCTGCAATTACAACTGATTTCCAGATGACCAAGATCAGTTTCCTTGGTGAAAATGGCTGCTTTGGAGGGTGGACTCTATGGCATTATATCCTGTGGAGGTACCTCCCCACACAAGCCCCACACTCCCCAAGCTCCACTCCCAAAATCTCCAGGTATTTCACAGCTCAGAGCTGGCAACCCTAGGAAGGGCAGAAATACCTAAAATCTTCTTCATGGACACAATTTAAAGAGTTCACGGTAGGGATGCCTGCCTGAGAGCCAGTTTGGTGTAGTGGTTAGGAGTGTGTACTCTAATCTGGAAGAACTGGGTTTGATTCCCCACTCTTCCATACGCAGCTGCTGGTGTGACCTTGGGTCAGTCACAGTGCTCTCAGAGCTGCTCTCTCAAGAGCTGTTCTCTCAGCCCCACCTACCTCACAGAGTGTCTGTTGTGGGGAGAGGGAGGGAAAGGAGATTGTAAGCCTCTCTGAGACTCCTGGGTGAGGTACAAATCCAATCTCTTCTTCTCCAGGTGGGACTTGGGGATCCTCTGGAATTACAGCTCATCTCCAGACTACAAAGATCAGAACAGTTGATTTCCAGATGACCAAGATCAGTTCCCCTGGAGTAAATCATGGCTGCTTTGGAGGGTAGTAGCATTGCACCCCACTGGGGTCCTCCTCCTCCCCAGCCTCCATCCCCAAATCTCCAGGAGTTTTCCTGCCTGGATCTGGCAACCCTAACACATACACACCCTTCTTTCCTCCACCGGTGGCAACTATAGTTTGATATCAACCACGACTGCAATGCGTCCCTTTGCTTTTTCCTTCTCCTCCCTCGACATGTTGCCCATTGCTGCTCTGTTTCTCCCTGTATGGCGTCAACAACTGTTCTATTGCAATCCCTGCTGTTAACAATTCTCTTCTTTCTGCTCTCCCCCCAAAGCACTCCACCGCCTGAAATGCGCTTCCCGAGCCAGCCGAGACCACAAGAGCGGCGCGCCAAACACCTGGCGGGGACCCTCCTACGCGTGTCGGCCTCCTCTCGGCTTCCCACTCGCCCTCAGCGTAGGCTTCGACTAGGCCAGGCCAGGCCTGACCTGAGGGAAAGAAGGAACGGGGGGGCGGAGAAGCCATGAGCAGAGGGGGCGTGGCCGGGCAGCCGCGGAGCCGAGGGGGGCGTGGCCTGCCCTCTCCCTGGCGGCGGCCGCCGTTGCTGCCGCAGCCGCGCGCGTGGTGAGTGTGGTGGAATGCGCGCCGCTGCCGCCCTGAGGAGACTCCCGGCCGCCGCCGCCTTCGTCGTCGCTTCGCTCGGCCTCCCCTCCCCTCGCAAGCTGAGGGGGGGGCTGGACAGCGATTTCTCGCCCTTCCCCTCCCCGTGAGTTGAGGGGTGGGGTGACGGGGAGAGGGGGGTGGATTGCATGATGAATGGTCGCGCTGATGGACGCTCTCTCTCTCTTTTTTAACCTCTCCCCTCCTCCTCTGCCCAACAAGTGGGGCCGGGCCGGGAGTGTGGGCCTCACCACGTTGCTTTTCCCCGGGAAGGGCAACTGGGCGTAATTCTCTTCAAGGCCCCCCTCCCCCCCCCATAGCACATATACACATACCTATCTCTGTTCTCCTCCCCCACCGCTCCCGAGCTAAGTAAAGAGCGTCCGTGCGTGGGGGGGGGGGGGGGAGGGGGCCTTCCCAGCCCCATCGTGGGATCCCCGAGCATTCACACACACACACCCCGCAATAACAACACGCCATGTAAATATCGCCTACCTTAGCGAAAGGCAGCCAGGTAACGATTCCTCTCTCTCGTTTTCACCCCACTCCCCTCCCCTCCCCTCCCTCCCCAAGTTCTTGTCTCGGGGGAATATTTCGGGCGAGGAAGGGAAGGTTTCCCCCACCCCGCCTTCGCTGGCGCTTGAGCCGTGGGGGCTGGGGCCAGGCGAAGCGTTGCTCTCGTCGGCTCGGGAAACCCCGCAAGAGAAAGTTTGTTGGAGGAGTTATGGTAACTTCCCCCCCTCCCCCCAAGACGGGGAGGGGAGTAAAGACAAAATGGGGGAGCAGCCCCGGGGGGGGGGGGTTGAGGAGGGCGACGACCCTGCGCAGGAGGATTAAAAAACAACCCCCCGCCGACTTTTAGTGAGTTTGTGATGTGTGCTGCGGGCAAGATTTTTGCGCAAAGAGCTGCTTTGTGCTGCTGCTGCTTCTACTTGGTATTTGAGAAAATGGCCGAATGCCTATTTCTGGAATGCAAGAGCAAGCCGATGGTGGTTGGGCTGGTGGCACACATGAAATTCATTCGGCGGCGGGCGCGGGGGGCAGTGCTTTAATTACAGTCTCTCCTCCGAGGATTTGTAGCCTACAGATGGCAATTCTTTGAGTACCTACTTGGGAGTAAGACCCACTGAACTCGGCGGGACTTAACTTCCGAGTAAATATGCACAGGGCTGCAAGCGGCCCTTGCCTTGAGAGAGACTTCTTTTGGCACCTGAAAACTTTCGAAGGGAGCTCGTTTTCTTTGCTTGCCGTTTGGAGACCGAGTTCAGTGTTGTGTATGTAGGTCATTGAGCTGGTTTGCGTTTAGGCCGGAATGAGACCAGTGCTGAAGTAAAAATCTCCCCCCCCCAAACTGCTGTTGGTTAGCTCCTTTCAAGCACGAATGATCTGCCGAACAAACTTTTGTTGTTGAGGAATAAGCATATATGTTTGAGGCTTTATGGTCTCCCCCTTCCTTCAGTAATATAGCAGAGCAGAAGGGGACAAAAGAACTCCTGGTGTAATCTTTTATCAGTTTTGAAAATAAATCTTTAATTACACATTTAAAGCATGGATAACCTCCCCGGTTTTCCTACGAATCCCTGAACCTTGCTTAAAGCAATGTAGGGTTCTATTTACTCTGGATGTATTTAATCTGAATTATCATGGAGCACATGCCTTTACATGTTAATCTTCACTGCCCTGTGTTTTACTTGAATAGTTAGGAAGTTCCTGCTAGAATAAGAGAGTTATATGTATTTATTTCCTTTCCAGTCCTGCTTTCTTGCTGAGACTCTGTGCTGAGACTCTGATTACAAAATAAATGCAGTAGGAACAGTGTAATAAGATTTGGTAAGTACAGTAAGTTTAGGTACGCTGTTCTTGTAACCTCATGTAGTTGTGCTGTAATTTTAAATAAACATCCTGAGTAGTTCATTTATATGGGTTCTGAAAAGGTTTTAGTGGAGACTTCATGGGAAGTCAGGCCAAATGCAGTGAATTTATAGAATGGTAATACTGCTTTTTGGTGTAGTAGTACAAGCAGATCCTCTGCAACAGCTGTTGGTGTCTCATCAGACATTAAGGGGGGGAAGCTGTGATTTTTGTACACTGCTAGCGAGCTTGCAAGGGCCTCAGTCTGGCCACTACTAGAGACAGAATGTTGGACTGCATGGACCCTTTGTTCCATTACTGTATGCGCTTGAGTTTTTGGAATATCATAGGAAGCCATGCTCTCGCTTATCAGTTTTTAGTGCATACTCCACTTTATACAAAGTAGTTGACTCTGGCGTACTACAGTTGTTCTTTCACATTTGCAGTCTGTATAATTAGAATGGTAAAAAGTGATGTGTTTTCCAGAATCAGTGCTCATTTGTAAAAGGGGAATGATAATCTGCATTAATCATTGTGGTTCCAAAATGAGGCCTTCTGGGAACTGGCAACTTTGTTTTGGAGATATATACAGGGAGATGTGAACAGACAGCAGACACATTTCCACAATGCTTGTGTGTCTGCATACCTACACTCTTAGTCTTGCTCTTTGACCTCTATTGAACCATGACTACCTTGGGTTATTTGTTAATTTATTTGTTCTCATCTGACCTCCCCTCCCCCCCATTCCTTCTTCTGCTAAGTGGCCTTTTTTGCTTCTTGTTTGATAGAATTCTTCTACTGTGGCATGTAGATTGCCGCTAGCTGTAACAATAGGTTGGTTCCCTGGTGTAGACATTCTTGTTGAGAAGAGTGTGCTGGGCAGCTCATACCTTAAGGTGGCCTTAGTCTAGACCATCGTTTTTTGGTAGTTTGGTCACACAGGAATATGCTCTGGACTCTTTTTGAGAGTGCTTGAAAGTAAAGTCTTTTTAAAGCAGGAGAAACTAACAACTGTTGCATAGTGTGCAAATAGGCTGGGAGAAATTGGCCTTTGTGCTGAGTTATCAGACCATGTATGGTTCTGTTGGTGGTTGTGTTTTTTTGTGATACATGATAGAAGATGAAATAAAAACGTAGTTTTATTACATTTGTATTCATGAATGATAATAAAATCATACAAATTCAACTAAAACATGCTAGGTATCAGCTTCCCATTGAAGATATGTAATGCGGCTTTCAAATAATGTAAATCAGACTTTCCGTGACATACTCTAAAATAAATGTTGTAAATTCTATTAGAGTTGGTCAATTGATTGGGCATATATGGTCAGTTAATAATCATCATTTCACCTTATGACTGATTTTGTTCATGGTTAATTCTTATGATATAATGACATTTTAATTCCAAACAGCTGTAATCAGTTATTTTTAAAAATATATTTAACTTTCATTTCATGAGATTGTACATTTCTTCTTGGCGTTTATTGAATAAACCCAGGAATAACCAAACATCTGCAAAATTTAAAAAAGAAAAGTCAGCCTATAAATTAGGCCATGGCTGTAGAGCAGAGTGTATGTGACATCATCTGCAAAAATGAGGGAGAGATCCCGATTCTTGTAGAACTGGGGACCAAAGAATCCTCAGTTCTTTCTTGGATGGTGACAGAATGTATTTTTTTTAAAAAGTAAACTGCTGCTTATATAAAATAATCTGGGTTTTGTAGAGTATGCTGCAATATTTGTCCATGGTAAAATATTAGAGGTTGCTCAAGTAGATTTTTTAAAATTGGCCTTTATGAACAGAGAATAAAAACAAACATGCAATCAAGGAAAAAATAAAGAAGAGAGAGCCTGTCTTGGGAAGCCTTCTGTTATTACAGCTTTTTTAACTTCTGATTTTAAGTATTACCTGAAAGTCTTTTGCTTTTGAAGATTATAGAAAGGGTTGTTCATAAGAGTGGCATTCATAAAATCTTTTCTTTTGTTTCCTTTTAACAGAACTGTTACTATGGCAACACAGGTACTAGGGCAGTCTGGTGGCAGCAGCCTGTTCCCTGGCAATACTAACCTTGGCATGGCGCTGCCAAACGACATGTATGACTTTGCTGAACTTTCAAAAGCTGAGCTGGCAGCTCCTCAGCTTATTATGTTGGCCAATGTTGCCCTGACAGGAGAAGTGAATGGCAACTGTTGTGATTACATGGTTGGTGAAGAGAAGCAAATGGCTGAACTGACAACTGTGGGCAACACCAACTTTTCAGACAATGATGAAGAAGATATAGATGATGCACATGATGTGGAGAGTAACCATGAAGGCCTGGAAAACATGGAACTGGCAGCCCTTGAAGCCCCTGTGGCTCCTCATACTGAGACTGCTGCAGAAGTGACTGAATCTTCTGTTCCTCCTAGCCCAGGCAAAGACATCCCTCAGAAAGCATCAGGTGTTCCAGATGCTCCGGAGACCACAGATGAGAAATGTAAGAGCTTGAAGAACAAGCCCTTTCGTTGTAAGCCTTGTCAGTATGAGACAGAGTCAGAAAAGGAGTTTGTGGATCACATCCGCGTACACGGTGCCAACCGATTAATTGTAGAAGAAAAAGCCGAGAAGCTTGGCCAGGTTAAAGAAACGGAGTCTAGTGGCACAGATGAGGTCGATTTCTCTAAGGGGCCCATTAGATGCGATCGCTGTGGTTATAACACTAGCAGATATGATCACTACCTAGCTCACTTGAAGCACCACAACAAAGTCGGAGAAAATGAGTGGGTCTACAAATGCACCATCTGCACATATATGACAGTCAGTGAATATCACTGGAAGAAGCATCTAAGAAACCATTTTCCACGGAAAGTATACACATGCTCACAGTGCTCCTACTTTTCTGACAGAAAGAACAACTATATCCAGCATATTCGAACTCATACAGGTGAGTGTTGTATCCCCACATTTATTGATTTGATGTATTTAAAACTTTGCTTCTCAGCCAGACTGGGTCTGTCACATCAGAGGGACTCATTGCTTGAATCCTTCACAACCTACACATTAGGCTTTTTACATGGGGAGGCTAAGGGTGTTTTTTTACTTGACTAGGATGAAAACTATGTGCATCAGGCCACAATCCCTTTTATTTCAGAACAATACTTGGTTTTAAAAAGAATTAATCTGGAGCAAACAGGTTGTAGAATGCAGACCTAGTGTAAATGGATTATCTTTTACATTTTAACTTAGTTGTCACAGTGCTGAAGGGGTAGTGGTCACTGTCGTAGACACTATTGTCGCAGCTACTACCCGTGATTGCTAAATTAAATCTTTTTCTGTTCATAGACAAAAAAATGCCAGTGGTGTTTTGTGCTTTGGAAAGTACTTTGAACAGTCAGCTAACTTGGTTTTCCCTGCTCAGCTTTTTCCCCCTCTTATTGTGTGTGAGTCCATCCAATTACTTTTAAAACACATGCAGAACTAGAAAATAATAACCTTGCCAAGAATCACCAATGCAAAGTTAGTACGTGAAACTAATTTTATTTTGGAATGCAAATTAGAAGCCAGTTAGCTGAATTAATGGTGACAGTAATAGCTGGGGTAATTTTAAGCCTTTATTCATTAATTATCATCAGCCATAGTAGTTTGTAGGATTGGACTTCGTGGATCTGATAGTGCTGGTAATGTGCTGAATGGATAGTGCTGAATGGATTGACATTTCTCATATCAGAACTCAACATTCCCATGTATCAGAACCCAACATAAATCAGCAATAACCATAGAAAATAAGCTGCATTTCTTAGAAATTACAACCATGAGCATGCAGTGTCAGCATGAATTCTTTCCCCATTTTTGTTCAGATCTTGCACTAATAAAGCTGCCCTCAGTGAGGCTCAGATTGTTTGTTGCTTTTTTTCCAAGACAGCAATTGACTAAGCTTTATATATGGAAAGTACTATTTTAGTGGTTATGGTGCAGAAAATTTCATAATAGGCTTAGAAAAGGAATTAGCAAGTTAGAGAAATTTAGTGCATTATGAGAAGTGCAAAAAGGATGAGTATAAATTTCTTTAAAAATTAGTTCTATCCTAATATGCAGAAGAGAAGATAGTCTTCGTCTAGACTGTAAATATGAAGCAGAAAATGCACATAAGATTCATGTTTTTAGTTCCTTGTTCTGATCTCTCTTCCAAGACTGACCTGCTCAGTGAAGAACTTAGTCATAACACAGCACCCTCTACTGTATGGAGGTGTACCCAGTAGGAGCCCTGTAATCACTACGCTCTTGGGGGCTCTGCAGTTTAGGCTTCAGATCTTCTTCTGCAAACACATAGTCCTTCTGACAGATAGATACTCAAGGAAGGAAGACTGGCTGTTCCATTTAGATCATCCAGACACTTCCACAGCTCACATGGCAGAGGGAAATCCCACAAAAGGCCTCTGGCCTCTCCCAGGCAAAGGCAGAGGGAAAGAATGCCCCAAGGAGCAGCTTTTTTAAAAAAAACAAACAAACAACAACACTACATACTCTAGGACAACAATAGAAGAACACACAACAGAACATTCATAAAAGGCATTTTTGTCATTGCTCAATAGCTCATAGGGGAAAAGTGCTCATATGGGAAATAGTATGACAGGAGAAGCTAGAAATAAGGCAGAATTCACTTTCTGGCCAGAAACAAGCCAATCAGAAGCAGAAGGAAAGGGTAGGGTTAGAACACAAAACACACATTGCATTTCTCTAACCATACTTCCAACTGAACACACTGGAAAGACAGCATGGAGCATTTGGCATCCTTTATTTGTCCTTGTGATGCATCCTGTCATATCTGCCAGGGTTGGAAAGCCAAGAAAGGCTTAGCACACTATTATAGCACAGCTTTTGCATACAAGAGGTTCCTGATTCAAGCCCTAAAATGATTCCAAGGCATAGCTCGTATTTGGTACCATCAAACCCAATCACTAGAGATGGGCCAGTCATGGTGATTGGCTGCCCCATATTCCAATACATTTTGCTTAATCCCTTCCCATTTGGCCTTTCCTCTGTTGCATTCATGAGGTTAATTATTACTGTCTGCTGTTGTTCAAGCAGCCATTGTTCTCCATCTCCCGTCCCTGTCACATAACCGTCATGGTTTGTGCTTATCAGGAGAGACTTGGGAATTATGAATTGAGAGGGTGCTTCTCCTCCCCCTTGCTAAACAACTGTTAACCTCTTACCCCTTCTTGGTTGAGCCAGTGCTGCAGACATTTGAGAGTAGTACCAGGTGGCATAGATCCAGTATGTAGTAGTTGGAGTGTCAGACTAGGATCTGGGAGAGCCAGACTTGAGTCCCCACTCTGCCATGAATGCTTGCTGGATGATCTTGGGCCAGTCACGCACTCTCAGTTTAACTTACCTCACAGGGTTGTTGTGAGGATAAAATGGAGAAGAGAAGAACGATGTAGGCTGCTTTGGGGTCCACATTGGGGAGGAGCATGGAGTAGGAATGAAAAAAAAAATCCTGTATCTATCAAACCGCATTAAAACAGAGGCAGTTTTGAAGTAATCCAAATGCTTATTGAGTAGCATCAGTAAGGGAGCTGGGAAAACAATCGCTAACGATTGGTGTAGCAAGGCTTCTGTGCCTTCCAAAGCAGAATTGACAGGCTGCAGAATCACAGCTAAAGCTGATGAGAGCTGGCAGCCTCCAGAGCAGCTAGTTGTAGACTGGTCACTGCAGCTGGTGGTTATATCATAGTGTCAGCAAGTGGTTGGCACTACATCGCAGTGGGCTCCAGCCTTACCTATCACTCCTGTTCAAGGACTACCAGGAAAGAACCAAGGAGGAAAAACCAAGGACAATAGAATAGTGTTTAGCAGTAGGATCAAACAGTACGTGAGTTCAAGCACTCTGCATGTGGTAGTGAGCCACAGATTTCAGAGAGTGGTCCCACCTAGGTGCTCTTTCTATTCCTCTCCTCTTCCCCTTGGTGTTTCTCACATGTCAGGATTTGCTTGTGGACCAACATTACACATTGTGTGTAGAGGGTACTGTGTCTTAGTGTTGGATCCAACACAGCGTCTCCGTGGGTTTAAGGGGACTTTTGTGGTTTCTGCAGCAGCCCAAAGTGCTCCCTGAAATTCTGCTCCTGTGGAAGAGAAGACTTTCAGGAACAGGATATTGGAGGGGCAATTTAGGCAGCTGTGGGTGGGTGGGGTTCCGTGAAAGATACGCTTTCTGGCGTTTGTGCCTGCACAAAGATTATTCTGGACCCATTCCTTCCGTTTCTGTTGAGGCTGTTCTACGGGGCTGTGATCCTATAAGACAAATGGGGTCATGCGTTTTTGGCCTGCAATGCTTGGGGTAGCTAGGAGTCACTCAGAAATGTGGTTGTGCTCCCTGTCTTCCCCACTTGCTTGTGAGGTTCACGCCAGCATAACACATCACACTAATCTTTGGGCAGCATATCTCCAAGGGAAGGGACTTTCTGCACTTTGTGTAATTATTCTTTGCCATCTGTGTGGGACACACAGCTAGCAACCATTCAGGGAGGAACAGTTTTTGAGCCAAAACAGTAGGTTCATATGGATGGTGGGAATGAAAACATTTGCAGCCAAGTTTGATGTATGGGATCCCTTTGCCTTGCTCACCTGTATGGGATCCATTGCCCTGACAATGGCAGTCGGAGGAGTGGAGGACGTAGTCCAGTCCTTCCGTTCTGCTCTGAGGTGGAGTATCTGTAAGAGTTTTCTGAACTGTGCTAACAATATTCTGTGACGGCGTTTGTTTTCCACCTTGGCTGTTTGTGCAAAGAGCCCTTTTTTTTGTGCAAAGTGCATGTTCCTATAATCAAAGTCTTTCCCACCCCCAGGTATTTTAATGTGTGGGACATGAAGCCAGAGAGCCCCATGTTCTGTTCCCTGTTACTTGAGCTATGGGGTCCTGTCTGGTGTTTTCTATAATGCTTAGCAAAGCTGAGATTTGCTGGTATGGTGGGAGGCAGGTGCATGTGGTGGTGGTGGGGCTTAGTCTTCACTCCCATTGAGTTAAATTGCTGGTGTAAAGTCTACAGACGTGAAGACCCGGGGGTGTGTTAAAATCTGGGGTAGCACTTGAAAAAACAAACCTGCTTTGTACTGTAAAAATAAATAAAAGAAAGAGTGAAATGCTTTTTAAAGCATCATTTTGCTCACTCAGAATGTACAGCACTAAAGGTGTGATCTAAGGCAGTCTGTAGCATTAGATAACGATAATTCCTATGTCTCCTGTAGACAAGTACACTGCTTTCAAGGATACAGTTATTGCTTAAATGTTAATTTTTGACAACAATTAATATGCTGTTTAATAATTTATCAGATTTCGGCGTTGTAAAGTAACAAAATGCTTATAGTCCTATCTATTGTGATTGTATGGGACTCTTCCTGCCCAAATAATAGTTTCTTTTCTTCACTACAATCCCCCCCCCTAATTTTCTTTCTTACCTCTGAGTTGACAAGATACATTTGCTGAGGTAGCATATAGATTGCAAGGATTTGCAGCTCTCTCTCTCTCTCTCTCGTATTGTTTATGCCAGCGGTTTTATACTTATACTTTTTAAATTGAGCATGTAGTGTGCTTATTTTAATGCCTCTGTTTGTTTTCTTAGGAGAACGTCCCTATCGGTGTTCCATGTGTCCATATTCCAGTTCTCAGAAGACACATTTAACCAGGCACATGCGTACTCATTCAGGTTGGTAAAAAGGCAGTTCAAGAGCTGTGGTGGTCAAGATGTTGGTAATATTGGTTATATGCCCAGTAATATGGTGCGGGCATAGTCTGCACTGCAGGCCTCATCTGCTTCCTTAAGGTTTCTTGCTGAATTGTGAAGCAGAGAATTGCTAAGTAGTAGCCAGCTGAAATGCCATTGCATTGCGAACCCTGGGATATGTGATTTGTGTGGTTACACATCAGATGTATGACCAGAAAGAAAAGCTGGCTTCCAAATAATTCTTCAGCTATTTGTGGTCTGATTCTTAACTAGATGAATTCCAGCTGCCCCCCCAACAAGGATGGCTTCCATTATGCATAGGGTGAGGCATGTTTTCACAAATCCTGTTCTTAACTTTTATATATTTTGTTATCTTTAGGCAGTGATGGCGAATCTTTTAGAGACCGAGTGCCCAAACTGCGACCCAAAACCCACTTATTTATTGCAAAGTGTCAACACGGCAATTTAACCTGAATACGGAGGTTTTACTTTAGAAAAAACAACTCATACATTAACTTAAGATGATCCAAACAAAGTAAGGAAAGCAATCCCAAATGCTTTCATTTTCTTAAAATTATTTGGCAGATAATTCAACACTTTAATGATGGTCTGGGCCTGGCTGGGGCGATGGCATGTGTGCCCACAGAGAGGGCTCTGAGTGCCACCTCTGGCACCTGTGCCATAGGTTCGCCACCACTGTCTTAAGGTAACAACACTGAGACGAATATTCAAAGCACTAGGGTTGCCAAGTTGTTGCAGTCGCCGCAGCGGGGGGCGCCGCACGCACGTCACCCAGAAGTGACGTTAGG